TTTGGTTACTTCTTTCTTTTGTTTTTTAAAAAAAAAAAGAAAAAAAAAAAAAAAATAAAAAAAAAAAAAAAGAAAAAAAAGGGGGGGGCCGGGGGGGTTTTCCCAGGGGATGAAAGGCCGAAAACTCCCTCCGCCCCAAGAGGGCCCCAGCACCGCAGAGCGCAGATGCAGCATGGAAAACCCCGGGCCAAACCCACCCATATGCTAGTAAACAACAAATCCGGGATAGCAACCCACATCTGCCGAGCTACCTCGGTGGGCAAAAGAGAGGGCGGCGGATATCCGCCACAAAGATACCCCTTCGCACCACCCCGGGGAATCCCAAAAGGGGGCTTAGAGTACACTCGTCGCCCGAAAACACCCCAAAAATATCCGGGATACCGGAGAGGGGTCGGGACATCCCCAGGCGTCCAGATTCCACGGAAAACCGCCACCGCTAAGAACCTCAACGAATGGGATGGACCCCCCGGATCCTTTCTCCTACCCCGGAACTAGCGCCCTGTGGGAAAATCCCAAAGGACAAAAAGGGAAGGGCAAAAAGGGGGGGTGGGGAGGGGGGGGAGGAAAGGAAAAAAAGGGGGGGATGGGGGGTTTGGGGTAGGGGGGGGGGTTTTGGGGGTAATTAGGTTCGGTCTGAGGAAGAAGACCGTAGGTTAAAAAAATTTTTCCCCCAAAGGGCCCTTCACCACGCCCAAGGGGCCCCCCTTGAAGAGGTGGAAAACTTGGGGGCTGGAAAACGCAGAAAGAAGCAAGAGGATCATCCAGGATGCCCTGTCTGCCAAAATTTTAAATATGCAAAAAGAAATTGATATTTCCCAAACATCGGAAACGGTTTTCTGAAAAAAAATATCCTAATTGGGTTAATATGCTCAGGGGAACTCATTCAAAAACCCCGCCAGAAGCCCTCCAAACTTTTCCCCAGCCTGGTGAACACTTCCAGATGATCGAAAAAACTGGAACCGCCCCCCCGCAAAATCGATACTATCATGTCAAGAAAAGGGAACAGCGGCCTTCTCCGCTCCGGAATTCCCCATTCCAAATACCATTCCTCCATTTTCCCCCCAAACTACTTCTTAAATAAAACCAAAATTCGCCTGAAGCCAAACATAGCCTTTAACGTTTGTAACTAGTCCCAGCACACACTCTCGCAAATTTTTCGTTGATGGTTCTTTCACCACCACTGGTGCAGCTGGGAGGTGCTGTTTTTGTCAGGTGATGGCTCCTTAAAGAAATTGGAGCACAAAATTCTAATTGGGCCTCTTCCCCCTTTAGCAGAACTGTTTGCCTTTCCTTGCACTGAAATGCATTAGTATCAAGATTGACAGTTTAAATTTTAAATGATTCTCTGTCACCATAAATGCTCTCAAACCTTAAGCATAATTGTGGCATGCTTGTGTCAAAGCCAGACCAGGGATGGGGGATTGTGGACAGTGGAGTCAGATACATGCGTGGGGGTTCCATCTCACATTGGGCTTCGATCATGATAGAACGATAAATTTGGCTAAGCTTATCTTTCAAAAAGGGGGTAATTACAATCTTTGGTTGTCAGGTAGTTGTTTTGGAACAATAAAAAAGAAAAGAACTTCAGCTAAATTTTATGGACTTAAGGCTCAGGGGGATTGACCCGTGGTCCATCATCATCATTCATCATGCAGGAGGAGCCACATGTCTTGGTGCATCCCAAAAAATAACGACTCTTGGATTACTACCGCCCGGCTCCGCGGGGGTTTCAATATCTTTGGCAGTTAAATCACCACCCCCAGTGTAGACCAAAAAAAATGTAAACTTTTCCCAGATGGTTTTTTGTCACACCTTGCGCATTAGTATGGGTTGGGGTAAAATTAATGAATTTAGAAACAACTCACTCATAAGTGTTCAAAAATGGCTAAGTATTTTATCCACTGTATTTACAGACCATCTGGGAAACCCTGATTTCTAGCGTAAATAAAGCATTTCCCCATAGGCATGTGTGTGGTGTGTGTTTTGTGTGTGTGTGAGTATGAGTGTGTGTGTGGTATGATGTTGGGTGTGTAGAGTGTGTGTGTTGTGTATGGGGTGTGTGTGTTATGAGTGGTTTCATGTGTGTGTATGAGTTTGTGGTGTGTGTGTGTTGTGTGTTTATGGTTTTGTGTGTATGAATTTGTATGTGTGTGTGTGTTGTGTGTGTGTGTGTGTGTGGGGTGTGTGTGGGGAGAGAGAGAGAGAGACCACAAACAAAATTTGCACCAATAACTCACTACAGTTGTGACCGGTGTGGGAAATTGAATTGCCATTCCTAAAATTTGTTCAATTAGCCATGTAAAACTAAGTAACCATTTTACGTTTCATTACCTTTGTAAATTGTGATTTTTTACCTTTGAACTTGTGATTTATTACCTTGTACCTAGTTCAGCCCTCAAAACTTTTTGGGGCCCGTCCCCGGCCCTTGTGTACCCCTTTTAATCTGAAATACCTTTTTAATTGTCAGATTGTGACTAACCTACCTGATTTTTTCCTTTTTAAATTGGATTCATTCCCTTTTTAAATTGTGAATTCATTACCTCTGTAACTTGCTCACTATCAAACTTTTAGGCCCATCCCCCGGACCAATTTTTACCCTGAATTTTTTTGATACCGCCCCCAGGGTGGGGAGGGGGGCATAATAAAATATTAAACAACTGCTTAACCCTCGTATTTTTTTACAATTTCCTTCAAATTTTATGTATTTTTATTTTTATTTTTTTACAGTAGCAAAAGTTTGTTCTTGCCCGGTCAAAAGTTAACATATGATGTCACCATCCAATACCTGTCCGAATAGCCATTCCAATATTTAGTCATGAATGGGTTGACATTATTTATACTGTAGTTTAGTAGCAAATAATGAACAAACAAAACACTCACCACACTGAGTGGTGGGAAGGCTGGCTTCCAGTTATGGGGGTCAGAGGCAGGGTATTAGGGACTCGCGGGTGGTGGAAACTTAAATATGATTTGGCAGCTGGGAATTTGGCGGTTGGGAATTCGCGAATGTGTGAAGCCCACGAAAGTTGAAAACTCGAATGTTGAGGGAGACCTGTACTTAAAAAAATAAATTATTAAAACATAAGAGAAAAAAGTAGAAGTAAAAATAATATTACCAAGTGAGCAGCAGTCTCCCATGTTGCAGTAAGAGGTTCACTTTGTCAACTTCACGCATTTTTTTTCTTTTAAAACACTCCCAAAAAAGTTCTTAAGATTTCGGTAAGAAAAATTAATTTTGTTTTTTCGAATATTTTTCGACACAGAGTGAGCTCAGGATCAGGGGTTTCGACAGTGAAAGGGTTAAGATAGACCTGACATTGGCGGGAAAAAGAGGGATGAGGTTCATTGCAATTGAGACAAGTGAGGGGAAGACTGCAAGATGTATTGGCATGATCCATGGCACTGCAAATCAGGCACTCTGCCACAACCCTTTCATAGAGAGTGATTTTTGTGTGCAGGATTGGTGCCAATCCCTCCAGGACCTTCCAAGTGTATACTATCATGTATCTCTCTCGCCTGCGTTCGAGGGAATACAGATCAAGGACCTTCAACTGCTCCCAGTAGTTTAGGTGCCTTATCAACCAAATCTTTAATTGGGTGGCAGAAAACAATATGAAGTTCAATGATGAGAAATCTCAATTACTCCAATATGCAAAACACGAGGAAATTAAAACTTCATCGGAGTATAAAACAAATTCCAGCCACATAATAGATCGAAAAGCTAATGTAAAAGATCTGCATACCCAACATCCCACGATGATGTTAGGTATGCAACAGTTTTTCCTGACAAAATCATCTGATGTCATTTACTAGACTTGGCCAGAAATTCAACTTTCCTCATTTTGTTGTCTTTCACATTAACTTTGGTTATGCCATATTTCTAGTAAATGCAAAGATGTTGGTTTCTGCTGAGTCCCTGGACATGTTGATGTTTGGATAATGAACATGCATCTCGCCACTCCATTCACTGTTCATGACTCTCTTTTCCCACAGGGTATTCCTTATCTCAAATATTTTTCGTGACGTCTCGACGCAGCCAGCCAATGGCAATGTTGGTCTGAGTTTGTCCCCCAACAACACTCTGTTTCTGTCACTCCTCATTTAGGCTTCTGGCACTCTTCTTCCCACCAATGTCATGTTTGGGAGCTACTCTCGGTCTATGTACTGGCCATACATGCTTCACTCATGGACACCCATGTTCTAAACACCTGCACACTCTTGAAAGGACTGTTTGAGTTGCACTGTCTTTCCCCCAGCATATCTTAATCACTTCCATCATCTCTGCTGCCAAAACATAGTAACTCTCAGTGACCTTGCTGAAAGTCCCATCTTTGATGCATACTCTGACTTTTAAACAGAAACTAACTTACTACATCAACTGTATTTTTAATTTTTCTTTTGCACTCTCCTGCACCCCCACTAACCTGTCTTTGCACTCTCCTGCACCCCCACTAACTTGTCTTTGCACTCTCCTGTGCCCCTACTAACCTCTGTCTTTGCACTCTCCTGTGCCCCCACTAACCTGTCTTTGCACTCTCCTGTGCCCCCACTAACATCTGTTTTTGCACTCTCCTGTGCACTCACTAACCTCTGTATTTGCACTCTCCTGTGCCCCCACTAACATTTGTCTTTGCACTCTCCTGTGCCCCCACTAACATCTGTCTTTGCACTCTCCTGTGCCCCCACTAACCTCTGCCTTTGCACTCTCCTGCACCCCCACTAACCTCTGTCTTTGCACTCTCCTGTGCCCCCACTAGCCTCTCCCTTTGCACACTCCTGTCCTTCACTCCCTCATCACCTTTGTACATTCCTTTCAAACATACCTACCTGCAATGCTGTATGACCCTTTCAGGTTTAGTGCTTAATATAATAATTCTGAAGAGGATCTTTTCTTTGGGCACTGGATGTAATGAAATGATTTTACTTTCAAAAGACTGGGAACTTAAGGATATAATACATGTATATATAACATATATTAAAGATGAGAAATGAAACGCAGCTTATATTGTGAGGTGTTGCATTTGGTAGTCTAGTACAATAAGACTGAATCACTTACCTCAGTCATGTGTGTTGTATTATTTTATTTTTGATTTCACAAAACTATACTGTATTGCCATTATCCTTATACTGTGTATTTTAAATTTGTTCATTATCAAAATATGAGAAACTAAAGAATTTTTGTCCCCTCAAGGGAGGTGTGTATAATTCTGAAGAAACATGTAACCAGAGACCTGATTGGCTGAAACATTTCATTCTATGCAAGGACCTCCTCAGGCAGGCCAAGGGATAGTCACAAACTGTGATCATATAATCTCCTGATGTGTCGACAGCATTCATTGGTTACTATGGAACACACATTAAAATTTTGTTGCTGATGAAACTTATGGTTTAATATTTTTTTTAATCTAAGTATTTGATTTGAAACCAGGTTTCTAATTCTTTGAATGAATGTTGTGGTTGTCTTGCATGGCAGAAAACATCAGTGTTTTAATACCAGAACATACATGCTCTTGTTATACATTAGATTCATCTGGTAATGTTATTTTTACCATGAGGATTTTATCAAGTATGGTTTATATAAACAACTGTATAGGTAACCTGATAATGTGGGACAAATAAGGAGACTGGACATTGATCAACATTAATTGCATATAAAAACTTGCACTAAAAACAATGCTGTTTTCTGCCAGATGAGAGAAACAACATTTATTTAAAAAATCCAACTTGTTTTCAAGTTGCAGATTAAACAGTGAGCTGCATTATCAAACATTTCCTCTATCCAAGCTTCCATACACTCAGAACCTTCACTGATGAAGTCATTATAGGAAAAATGTTCTGGCCAATATAAGTATGGTCTTTAGCCTTACAATTTGTATATAATATTTTGCTAACAATCCCCCTCCCCACCTCTAGTAAAGAACAAGAACTTTTTATATTCAACTAACATAGTCCACAAAGCTACAGTTAAACTTCTGTAATGTTTGTTTGGAGGAGTGACCTTTCCAGCCTAAGTTTTACACAACTGATCAGATATAACAGCTTTAAATTTTATATATAAATGCTTTTAATGTCTGCTTGAAAATTAATTAGCACTGATGGTTCAAAGTTATAACAATAATACCATGTTCCCATATACTGATCTTACTGAACTGAACTTATTAAAATTTGATATTAAGTTACTAAAGTGCATAATATGATCAACACTTTCCAAGAACCATGGCAAGTAAAGCCATTCTAACATACATTCCTCCCTCAGCCTGGCGAAAGTAAGCAGCTCTAGGGTCAGTGTCAAATTCTGTTGAGATTTCCTGGTTCCTGGGCAATGGATGGAGAACAATCATACGGCGCTTGGCACGAGTCATCAGGTGAGGAGTAACTATGAAGTGACCACATGCCTAGGGATTGTTAAAAATAACTCTTGCATAAGAATATACATGTGTACTCTACATAAAAAAAATACCACAGACTGAAAATAAAGAGGAAAACACGAGTCCTTTAATGTGCTTACAAATATTTTCTGAGTATGAAGGAGAAGAAAGAGAAGCACATTTATATGTTACTAAGTGTTTTTCTTGCTTCTTCCTCTGAAGATGTGTGTAACCACATGAAAGTGCTCAGGTTTTCCTGTTTATTTTTTCACTATGGTATGTTTTTTTAAATATTTCCAGTCACTCATTTTATTGTAATTTCTCCCATGTACCCTAAATACTGTATATACTCAGTGGCCACTTTATTTGATACACCCTTCTAGTACTGGGTAGGGCTCGCTCTTTGCCCCCAGAACAGCCTGAATTCTTCGTGGTCCATGCTGACACGATAGCATCACGCAGCTGCTACAGATTTGTTCATTCTGCATGCATGCTGTCAATCACCTGTTCAACCACATCCTAGAGGTTTATGCCAAATTCTGCAGTGTCAACTGCATGCAGCAGCAAAACTCGCAAGTCATCACACCATGTGACATTTTTCCAATCTTTAATTATCCAGTTTTGGTTTTGGCACCAGGAGTGGAACATGGTGTAGTCTTCTGCTGCTGTAGCCCATCATCTTCAAGGTTTGATGTGTTGTGCATTCAGAGATGCTCTTCTGCATACCACTGTTGTAATACATGGTTGTGTTACTGTCACCTATCTGTCAGTTTGAATGAGTCTGGTCATTCTCCTCTAACCTCTCTCATTAACAAGGCCTTTTTACCCACAGGACTGTCACTCACTGGACATTTTGTGCTCACACCATTGTCTGTAAACTCTAGAGACTGTTGTGCATAAAAATTCCAGGAGATTAGAAGCTTCTGAGATATTCAAACCAGCAAACCAGTTCGTATGGCACCAACAATCATTTCATGGTCAAAGTCACTTAGATCAAATTTTTTTCCTAGTCTGATGTTTGGTCTGAACAAATGAAGCTCTTGACCATAACTGCTAAGTGATTGGCTGATTAGATATTTGCATTAACAAGATGTACAGGTGTACCTAATAAGGTGGCCAATGAGTGTATATTATGCCCAAATGAGTAATATTGCAATGTACTGAGCATAAATAGTAATACTGCAATGTACTGAGATATACAAAGAAATACAAGTCATTGGTAAATTATATATTTTTAAATATCGGGGCACGCAAAAGAAATCTATACATTTTTTTTCCAACAAACCAGCTGTATCCCACCAAGGCAGGGTGGCCCAAAGAGAAAAATTAAAGTTTCTCTTTTTAAATTTAGTAATTTATATGGGAGAAGGGGTTACTAGCCCCTTGCTCCTGGCATTTTAGTCGCCTCTTACAACACGCATGGCTTACGGAGGAATTCTGTTCCACTTCCCCATGGAGATAAGAGGAAATAAACAAGAAGAACTAGAAAGAAAATAGAAGAAAACCCAGAGGGGTGTGTATATATATGCTTGTACATGTATGTGTAGTGTGACCTAAGTGTAAGTAGAAGTAGCAAGACGTACCTGAAATCTTGCATGTTTATGAGACAGAAAAAAGGACACCAGCAATCCTACCAGCATGTAAAACAATTACAGGCTTTCGTTTTATACTCACTTGGCAGGACGGTAGTACCTCCCTGGGTGGTTGCTGTCTACCAACCTACTACCTAGGTAATCTATACATGTCCAATGCAAAAACAATCTATACACAAGATTTTGGTGCATGCATTTCACTTGCGTTTCCACCATAGGAAACGTGGGAGAACATGTGTACTAGAGCCCGTCTTGCTCTGTTGTTCCCCACCATGCCAGAGCTCGGTGAGGAAGGAGGCCTGCTATGTTGTTCCTCAGTGTCCCTTTTTTCATTCGAGCATGAACTTTGCCAAGCTATGTCTCTGCTGCAAATGGTTAGAATGGGTCAAACTAAATATTCAATTGCAGAGAAGACCTGTGCACTCACCCTATTAGAGCAAGGAATGTCTGTGTTATCGCTACGCCGCAATAATGTAGGAGATGAGAATGGCAGTTTACAACTTCAAGAAAGCAGCTACCGCACTCCCACCTGACATCATACCATCCAGGAAAGGTGGGCTCTGGGGCCCCCAAAAAGACTTTTCTTCGCACTTCCCTCTTCAGGATCTGGTCTGTGGCAAAGAGAGTAGCCCTTTTGGGGGCCCAGAGGCCCCACCTTCACTTGTGGTCACCGGTCCCAGTTGGAGAGTGCAGCAGCTGTCTTTCTAAGAGGTTGATTTTAATTGCCATTCTCGTAACTTCAGGTCGGCGCTTGGGTATCACACCAAAGCATTGCTTTGCTCTAACATTGTGGTTTGTATGGGTCTTCTCTGCAATTGAACATTTGGTTTGACCCATTCTGACCACTTGTAGCAGAGATATAGCATGGCAAAGTTCATGGTCGAGTGAAAAAGGGGCACTGAGGAACAAGGTAGCAGGACTCCTTCTTCACTGAGCTCTGGCAGAGCAATGAAGTGTGGCATGGAGGAGAACAATGGAGCAAGATGGGCTCCAGTACACAAGCTCCACCCATGTTTCCTATGGTGGAAATGCAAGTGAAATGCATGCACCAAAATCTCATGTATAGATTTTTTTTGCATTGGACATGTATAGATTTCTTTTGCATGCGCTGTATAACCCTGTATTATGAATGCCCCTTAAAGCAAGGCTATTTAATACCAATTAATAATAATCTTCTTGCAACAAACCTGCTGTATCCCACCGAGGCAGGGTGGCCCAAAAGGAAAAACAAAAGTTTTTCCTTTTAAATTTAGCAATATATACAGGAGGAGGAGTTACTAGCCCCTTGTTCTTTGCATTTTAGTCACCTCTTACAACATGCATGGCTTACGGAGGAAGAATTTTGTTCCACTTCCCCATGGAGATAAGCGGAAATAAACAAGAACAAGAACTAGTAAGATGATAGAAGAAAACTCAGAGGGGTGTGTATATACAGTGGTACCTTGGGATACGAACAGCTCAAAACAAGAATAATTATGTAAATGCTTTTGTAAGTGTATTTTTGGGGGTCTGAAACGGATTAATCTAATTTACATTATTCCTTATGGGAACAAATTTGTTCAGTATCAGTACTCGAACAGCCTTCTGGAACAAAATAAGTTCATATCCTGAGGTACCATTGTATATGCTTGTACACATATGTGTAGTGTGACCTAAGTGTAAGGAGAAGTAGCAAGATGTACCTGAAATCTTGCATATTTACGAGACAGAAAAAAAAATCAGCAATCCTACCATCATGTAAAACAATTACAGCTTTCCATTTTACACTCACTTAGCAGGATGGTAGTATCTCCCTGGGTGGTTGCTGTCTACTATCTAGAACCAATTATTAATATTCTATTAAAAATCATTCTTGTTAAAAATATGAAAATACAACAAACCTTTTATTTGACTACTTGATAGGAAGAGAGGGTGGCCAGTAATGTCAAATGTGATGGGGGATAATTTGTTTTGCCCTGATGGTAACAAAACTGACAATTTTGTTACACAAAGTTTGTCTGCCGTATCAAAGTCAACTGACACAGTGGATTTTGTCCTGCATTTCTTAAGTCTGTCCACAATGGAGATTTATTTTGTAAATGTAGTAGTATACAGTACTATTAAAGATTAGAGCTTACCCTTTCATAATCTTCAAGAGTGACAAACCCTTTCCTTCTGGATTCTTGTCATATACAAACAATCAGTGTCTGGAAGGTGCTGCTTCTAAACTGTTGAATTCCTCCTGATGAAAGAAGAAAAATAAATTTCATTATAGTATAAAAAACCAAAAAGTATATTTCTATAAAAGTAAAATTTAATTTATGTAGAATTAATGACAAGGAAAGTAAAAATATACTGTATGTATTTTCAAAGAAGCAAGGAGCGAAACAACAGTTTGTAAGCTACGAAAGATACAATAATAATAATAATAATTTAACAATAATAATAATTTTTATTTCTACAAGAACATGTACAGAGTATACACACCTGACATCAACGACATTTTCCTGTATACAGAAAACCCTTTGTTATGCAGAGCATTTTGGGCAAATAAGGTCAATTTTGTCCCAGGATGCAACCCACACCAGTCCGACTAACACCCAGGTACCTATTTTACTGGTTTAGAAAGACACGTAAGCAAACACTATAACATATTTATTAGAAAACGTTTCGGTCCTGGGACCTTGATCACTTCTAACATTACAGAGGTATGTTGAACCATCAATTAAAAGTTTACACTTGAACTCGAAAATGATGGCAAAGTCCTTTCCTCGACGTTCTACTGTGCAGATCTCCCGACAGTGACAAACTTCTCTTCAAAGTGTATAGAAAACCTACCAACAAGGACGATCTTATACACTTTTATTTCCACCAAAGACCCCCCGCCCCTAAGAGAGTAGTCCTCATTGGCTTCTTCTTGAGAGCTCTTCGCATCTCCAGCCTTGTTTTCTAGAAGAAGAATGCACTTACATAACACAGCCTTACACGTCTTCAGTTCCCATCTTTCTTCATCCGAGATTGCAGATCAAGGCACAAGCTATCCTCAACAAACCGCCCATGGAACAGCCCCCTTTAAACGTTCATAGTACTCCCATGTGGCGTTTGTTGCCACAAATACTCGCAGGGCATTGCTATGAGTAACATCAATTTTTCCACCATAAACCATCATCTATCAAAGACCTCACTACGAAACGCAGCCCACACCTCTAACTTCTCAGCAGGGGGGTCTACGCTATCCCCTGTGGGTTCTGTCCCAAGAAATATGTAGGCGAGACAGGCGGGAGATCTTGCAGTCCGCCTGAATGGCATCGAAATGCCTCTAACAGAGACAATGTAAGGTAGCATGTGTCCTCCACAGAGACTCTAGGGGCATTTGATGAACTGGAATGAGGCACAACTCGTTCTCACCGAACCAGACCTCAGACGCCGACGGTGCCTAGAAGCCTCATTAATCGCCGTCACCGAACACTATAGAACGCAACACTGGAAACTACAAATTTCAAAAAGCTTGGCATACATGATATTAAGCAGCACCCAAACCCAAAACACAGGAGTCACGTGATTTCATCGTCTACCCGTCCTCATCATAGGCAGAGGTTTTTTTTTTGATAAGGACTGCCCCGCATGGGCCAAATAGGCCTTCTACAGTGTTCCTCCATTCTTATGTTCTTATGACATTCCTCAGGTCACATGCTCACACCTCACTCTCCGCCTATATATAATGTCTTCCTACCTCTGTATGTTAGAAGTGATCAAGGTCCCAGGACCGAAACGTTTTCTATTAAATTGTTATAGTGTTTGCTTACGTGTCTTTTAAACCAAAATTGTCGGTATTTATTACCCAAAGGGTTTATTCCACCTATTTTTCTGACAGCAGGTGTCTTAAGGAAAACAGGTCCTATGTTTCCATCTTTACTGGGGATCGAACCAGGACCTCAGTGTGTGGGCCGAGTGTGCTAGAAATCGAGCAATCAACTCAATGAATATACTGTAATCAATTCTAAACTGACCAGTTGCAACAATAAACTTGGAAATATTTATGCTAAGATTAACACTGTAGAGATCAGGTTTACAAGCTGTACTGTATGCAGTTATGAAAATGCTTGGAAAATATTACATCCAATTTAAAAACCCTTACAGTGATTATTGAATTTTCCATCATAAAAGATGTACCCTTTATGTTAGACCAACCCTTGCATGGAAGACTGAAGAGAGGGGAAGGTTTAAAAGGGGTTACTAGGTTGTTAAAAAAAAAAAATTTGCTAGCGTGGTGACTATTTAAAGATACTACATTTCAAACACTCTTGCATGTTTATAAACTGCCTCCCAGGTAAAGTACTCCCCCCTGGGTGAAAATACTCCGTCCCTCATAAATGTA